CGTTAAGAAATCCTCTCACATATTCTAATATTTGGAATATTTGCCATCATTATTTCATGAAAACTCCTTGCATGAATCAAAATGGAAAACCAATAGTCATTTCTAAGGCAATCTTGGTGAATAGTTTTGCTGCTTCAACATTTATATGAAAGTCACACATGTCATTCCATTAAAGGTACGTTAAATTATATATTTGTACGTTGTTAGCCTTTGCATGCATTCACAAAGTCATTGCATCAATGGTTTTTTAGATCGAGATTCGACATCATGAATTTGCGATTGATTAAAAAAAAAAAAATTTATTAGCTCAAGATTGAAACAACTATACGAATAATTAATCACTTGTATATGTTTGACACATTTTTAAGGTCTTATACTTGGTGAACAAAATATGTCAACATAGCTTCCAAGATGTTTATGATAAGTATAGCAGACAAATTAGAATGATGCTACTATTGGTAAAACTATACAAACCGTATTCCTTTTTCAAGTCTGTGTAAGTAATTTTGTACCCTTTAATTATTAGAAAAATTGATTTACCCGATTAAATTTTCTTCAATATCATGGAAATTTATAATTATTTTTCATTTCAGCTTTGATGATACCAATACTGAAATTTTAAGGATGGCAACAAAGGATCATCTTGAGATGGAGAATGAAGAATTAAACTTTGATCCCACTAGCATTGACTGGATCGACTATTTGATGAATGCACACATTCCTGGCCTCATTAAGTATCAAATGAAATAGTCTTCAAATTAAATATAGAACCTTAAAATGGTCAGGCATGTGTTTTATTACTTTAAAGAAAGCAGTGTTGGAAAAAACTGGTGTATTTAAGTTGTGTATTGAATAAACCTCACAAATTTTTATTTGTGTGTGCATGTTTTGACAGTGGGTGAGTATTTTATAGGTTTGGAGATTTACTTTGATAATGACTTTTACTATTTGATGGCTTTGTATGAATTTTGAATATTTTAGTGGCAAATATATTTATAGTTTGCAAAGAAAAGGGAAAGAAACGTACAAAGATACAACATAAAATACATAGACAAAGCTACTAACAAGAAGTATCTAAACAAATATGCAAAAACAACAACCAAAACAAAAACAACACTCCAACAGCAAAATGACAGAAAGAAAGAGAAGCAGCAAAAAAAATCTACAACCTCCTAAAGATTACTCCACAAAGAAGAAACAAATTAGATCTATGCATCCAAAACAGTTGGAGTTAGTTGAAAATATACACGTTGAAGAAGTCATACATTAGTTAGTTTTGAAAAGAAAGAGGGAGTCTAAGATTATATATAGGATTAAAATTCTTCAAAGTTCCACATCGCTTAATTTTGTGAAGGAAGAAGGAGTCCAAGACTATATATAGGATTCAAGTTCTTCTTTACAAGATGTACTAGTCAAAAACATTTTAAACTTGTATTTGACTTTTTTTTTTATAAATATTTTCTCTTATACTCTTATTTTAGTGTGTTGTGAAGATGTAGTTAAATATTTGTTTTGAAGAGTATGGGTGTACTAGGGACTGAGGTGGTTGAGGATATTCTATGTGTTGTAACAATGTTCACATAGTGTTATTCTCTAGTTGTCGTTCAACAACTACTTTGGTTTTTCTCCGATTTTGGAATTTCCACGTTAATCTCTTGTATTGTTATTTTGTTCATCTTTTTTCTCAATGATTTTTCCCCTATAAGTGGTATCATAACTTTTGGTTCGATCCAGGGATATGAGTTTTTATTATGCTCTGTGGTTGCAGCTTTGTCTGATCTTCCAAATCAGAAAAAGGGTAGTGTTGTGAAGAGTTATTAAGATGCAGTCACAAGTTCCGTTGTGTTGTTTGGACTAGAGAAACATGATGTAATAATTTTTTTGACCTATAGAAATTTCAAGTCAAAGATATGTTGATACAATCAAGTTTACATAAGGTGTGAGATTATGTCGATGGTTGAAGAGCTTCCTATCAACATGGAAGTTTCACCATAATGTTTCAACTTGGTATTTCGACATGTAGAAATTCTTGAAGTGATTTAGCTTCAAGTGAAATATACTCTTCTTTCGGTGGACTGTGATAGTTTTTAAAATTATGATTGTCGGGGAAGACAATGTGAAACTCTTGGAGTGGTGTAGCTTCAAATGGCTATACTCTTTATGGTTTTGAGCTATATTTTTATTATCACATATGAATCATTGAATGGCTTATTCATGAGGCCCCCTCCTAAACCAGCATAAATGGTCATTTTCGTGTTATAAAGCAGCCCATTGTAATGTGTGAATTATAAGCTACTTCTCTAATTTGTGGTGTGGGTGAGCTCTCATTAACTCCTTTTATCGCTCCCATTCTTCAAAGAGTGATTCACCGCCATCTTCCTAAAGAATTTAATCTGGTTCCTAAATGGGAAAATTAAAATAAAACATAAAAGTGTCTCGGTTTATACGACAAAACAATACAATTGTGATATTGAAAATTTTGGTCCCCGACAACAGCACCAAAAACTTAATAGTCCACAAGTATACGACTATATTAATGTAGTATAAAAGATATTCAATCAATATATACCAATTACAGTGAACTTTATCTATCGTTCCTATGTGTAGTTAAGACTAAAAAAAGATTTAGACTTTGTGCGAAAAATAATATAAAGTAGTAATCCAGATAAAATTTATCAAATAACAAATAAGGGACTAATTCTACTCGCACAAAATGAAACAATTTATTATTTTGAGAAAAAAGTTATATGTAGAAATTACTAAACAAGTGGTGACGCCCACTTTCAACACTTCGTCACCCGATTTATTTCTAAATATGTTAAAAATTGGCTTTCGCAATAAAATTAATATATTAAAAATTATTTTAAAAGATGAAAATATATTCTCAATTAATTTCAAGATGTTTTTGTTAAATTGTAATTCAGTGTGTCAAAACTATGTGTCGAAAAGATTTGATTTGTTTAGATTTAAATAGATTTGATTTAAGTCTAGAATAAATTAGATTTGATTTAGTAACAAAAAGATATTTTGGACTTTGGGGTTAGGGTGTAAGCTCAGTTATAAATAGAGGGAGTAATCCCTATTTTTTGTAAGCAAGTCAAGCAAGTTGTATTTACAGAATTTGCAGTTGCAAGTGAATAACAAAGTTTTCACAGTTTGTGAGCAGAGAGAAACTCTGCAGAAATAATTTGTCTTGTCTTCTTTTCTTTATTTGTCTCATAATTAAATTGTCATTGTGGTAGAAATTCATCATAGACTTTGGTGGATTTCCAACATCTGGTATCAAGAGTTTTGTTTCGATTCGAGGGAAGTGTCAATCAAGAACGATTGAAGAATTCATGATGACAAGTTATGGGAATGCAAACTATCCAGCAACGCTACCAATTCTGAAAGTTAACAACTATGAGAATTGGTGCAAACAGATGAAAGTCTTATTCAGGTGTCAAGGTCTTTGGGACCTTGTAAAAGATGGAGTCAAAGCGCTTGGAGAAAACGCTTCAGAAGAAGAAAGAAGAAATACATAGAATCTGAGAAGTTGAGTTATAAATCATTATTTATAATTCATCAATGTGTCAGCCCAGACAATTTCGAAAAGGTTAGTGATCCAGAATCTGCAAAAGAAGCTTGGGAGATCCTTGAGAAGTCTTTTGGAGGCACTGAAAAGGTGAAAGAAGTGAGGTTACAAACTCACAATAGGACGTATGAACTGCTTCATATGGAAGAGAGTGAAAGCATATCTGATTTCTTCACTAGAGTTACAAAACTAGTAAATCAAATCAAGATATGTGGAGAAACGTTAACAACAAGAGTTGTTGTTTTAAAGATCTTAAGATCTTTGGCCCCTAAGTTCGACCACATAGTGGTGGCAATAGAAGAGGGGAAAGACTTGTCGAAATTAACAAAGGAAGAGCTTCAAGGGACGCTTAAATCTCATGAACAAAGAATGAATGAAAGAGCTGCATGCAAATCGAAGAGTGATGTGGCCTTGCAGGCACATTCAGCAAAAGAGACCAAAGGAAAAGGAAAGTGTTTCGAAAGAGGTAGAGGTGTCTACAACAAATTGAATGGTAGAGGAAATCAGATCGAAGGAAACATGTCGAATCAAAGAAGGCCATACCAAGGCAACCAAAGAGGTGATGTTGCAAATAGAGGAAGAGGTGGTGGTCGAAAACCTAATAACAATCACATTCAGTGTTACAATTGTCAAAAGTATGGACATTATTCGAGTGATTGTCCAGAAAAACGAAAGAATCAAGAAAGCGATGCAAAGCTTGAAAAACATGAAGAAGAAGAGATGATGCTGATGGTCACAACAAGAGATGAAGATAGATTCAAGGACCAATGATACTTGGATTCAAGATGTTCATCACATATGTCTGGAAGGAAAGACTGGTTTGTCAACATAAAGCCCTCAATGAAAAATATGGTAAAATTTGCAAATGACAATACCCTAGCAGCTGAAGGTATTGGTGATGTTATGATCATGAGGGAAGATGGCAAAAGGTCAGTAATCTCCAATGTGTTGTACATACCAGGCATGAAGAGCAATTTGCTCAGTATAGGGAAGTTGGTCAAAAATAATTATAAAGTGTCAATCGAAGATAAGATGATGAGAGTCATTGATGCAAATGGAAGATTAATGTTGAAGGCTCCTATGTCTCAGAATCGAACCTTCAAGATTGAACTAAATGTGATGGAAAACAAGTACCTTTCGACTGCAGCTAGCAGAGATGAATGAATATGGCATTATAGACTAGGCCATCTCAACTTCAGAGACATCAGAGATTTGAAGAGAAAAAATATGATTTCAGGATTGCCTGAAATTGACATTCCAAACGAAGTATGTGAGGAATGTGTGCAAGTGAAGCAACACAAGAACAGCTTAAACAAGGATGCAGGAAGCAGGTCGAAGGCTATTCTTGAAGTCATATACTCTGATGTATATGGACCAATCCAGGTAGATTCGATTGGAGGTATCAAATACTTTGTTACATTCATAGATGATTTCAGTCGAAAGCTATGGACTTACCTGATCAAGAAGAAAAGTGAAGTGATCGAAGTATTTGCCAAGTTTAAGTCTATGGTTGAAAGACAAAGTGGTCGAAAGCTCAAAGTTTTGAGAACTGGTGGTGGAGAATATGTTTCGAAATACTTCGACATGCTATGTGAAAAGGAAGGAATTGTGCATGAGGCGGTGCCACCCTATACTCCACAACAAAATGGAATTGTAGAAAGGAAGAATCGAACCATCATGAATATGGTACGAAGTATGTTGAAAGGCAAGAATTTACCTAAAGAGTTTTGGGGTGAAGTTGTTTCGACTGCAACATACATTTTGAACAAATGTCCTACGAAGAAGCTAGAAGGAATTACTCCAGAAGAATGTTGGTCTGGTGTGAAGCCTAGCTTGAGTCATCTGAAGGTATTTGGATCTATTGCACATAGACATGTTCCATATCAGTTGAGAAGAAAACTTGATGACAAGTCAAGTCAAATGATTCTAGTTGGGTATCATTCGAAAGGAGGCTACAAGTTGTTCGATCCAGAGAACAAGAAGATTGTGATCAATAGGGACGTGATCATAGATGAGTTTAAAGAATGGGATTGGACTGAAAGTGTCAAGAAAGATTCAGTGGGAATCCTATTCGAAGAACCAGAAACTCAAGTCAAAAGAGAAGTTCGACAAGAGGAACCAGCAGATATACCAAGTACAAGCAGACCTCAAAGAACAAGACGCATGTCTGCAAGAT